TATCGCGGCCGAGTATTAATGCTTGCGTATGCTCGCGGCTCGTTGCAGCCGGGCTCGTTATCTACGGCGCATAACGCCGCCAGTTCGCATGCAAATCGCAATGTGTGCAGCGAGAGTTGCGCCAGGACTACGACACCGCACCGGTGGCACTCATCGCGCAGGAAAATATAGTAATCTAACACCACCTGATAAATTGCCGCGCCAAGGCGTCGCTCGTAATCGCCGGAGGGTGACGTTGTGCTACAGGGTGAGTACGAAGCTCTGGACGCAGAGAGAGAGAGAGAGAGAGAGGATCATGGGGACAGGAACGAGGAAATAATTAACGCGGCCACTTACGGCAGTGGAACGTTCGAGCGGAAAAATCGAGCGAAATCGGCGGAAGAGAAACGAGATGGGAAATTAAATAGGCTGCGCACGTAAACGCCGCGTGTCCGCGTGGAAAGATGCGGAAAACGATACGAATTAACGCTCGGTAACGCTGGAACGAGCGTCTTCGAAGCTCGTCCCGAGATCGTGGAAAAACGACGCGATCAACCGGTGTTTGTTCCATTTCGTTCTTCGTTTTCTAGCCGCGTGCCTCTTGCGGAGAAATGGAGGAGGGATCGGCGATGTTAAGTATTCGCCGAGCGAGAATATTATCGCTGGTTTTTTTTCTTTTCCTTTTTTTTTTTCCCCCGGTCGTTTAGTGGCGAGAATGTGTATCCCTTTTGGCGAAGTTATGCCAATCGCGCGCGCGTTGCTCATCGTGGTTCGTTTAGAGTTATGGTTCGTTTAGAGTTCGAACAGTCGTTGGTTTCGTGAAAAATTAATCGATGGCCTGGTAACACGTATGTAGGTACGTACGCGGGATATACGGTGTGGCGCAAGAATGGCGGCACGGTTTGAAAGGCTGTGGCGAATCGATATTTCAGTAAATAAAGCTCGGTTTTGTAAAAATGGATATTTACAAATGGATATTTACAAAGAAGCGGAAGGGGGGACGTGTGTTACAACGGCCGAATCGAAATACTAATAAATTATAGGGCGCCGTTGCGTTTAGCTGTACTTTCCATTCGTGCACATTTTTAAAATTGCTACAGGTTATTGTGGATCGACCAACGTTCGTCCGATCGTTTGAATAAATCCAACCTAATTAGTTTTAACAGAGTAACAACTTTCGATACGTTTGTATAAAATTCAAATTGGCATTAATTTCGATTCTCGCCCCTCCCGGTAGAAGAATCAAACTCGAACGAACGTGGCGTTTCTGACGAGCGTAACGACCCTGCTCGCTCGTCCACGCGCGCGAAGCGGAATCGACACGAAAAATAGGACGATTCGTCGTTGCAGATTACGGCCGGGTCGATTAAGACACCCGGAGGGCTGATAAAGACAAACTGACTCGTCAGCCGCCGCCGCTCCTCCATAAAACTTATCACGGCAGCATTCTCTCGTACACGTCATTTCTGCAATCGGACGTGCGGCTCGCAGACATTCCTGTGAATGAATTCCACGGGACGGCGGGACGTTAGGAAACGGACGGAAAAACGGTCGAGAGCGAGCGAAAGAGCGCGTAGGGTGGAAGAAAGAGAGGCGCACGAGCGGGAGGAAGCCGTGTCGCCTCGATGGAAATGAATTTTTCATTTCGCGCTAAACTCGCGAAACGGTTGGTGGCTTAAAGCGAAGATTAAAGGGCGGCAGCGCGAGCTTCTCCTTTTTCTACTTCATGAAGTATAAGAGGAAACGACGGGGGTGGTGCCGCCCCATTATTTTTCATTGCTCGCGAGCTCACGATCCTTTTCCATTTTCTCGTCTTTCCTTCCTTCCTTCCTTCCTTCCTTCCTTCCTTCCTTCCTTCTTTCCTTCCTTCTTTCCTTCCTCCCTACTATGTACATACTTCTTCTCCTAACCTCTTGCAACTTTTTCTTTGCGTTTCCCGCAGACTTGTTTCAAAAGTCCTGGGCCGAAGCATTCCCTTAAACTTGTATTACCGGCCGAGTTACGAAGAACAAACATGCCACAGAAGAACACGATCCTCGTGGATTATTCAATCGCGACCGCGCAATTTGTTTCGCCGGTTCGGTCGGCCATTGTTTCCTCTGTATCAGCGGCGGTCGGGCACGGTATTCGCCTGTTTGCGCGGTATTGTGCCAAGTCCAGCGGAAAACACGCGGAATCGCCTGGATCGCGGGGTGTAGCCTTCGTCGGGGTAGGAAAGTAGCGTGCGTTCGATGAACATCGAGCAAGAGAACGAGAACACAAACGTCCCCAGCGGCGGATACGTTCCGTCGATGCTCGTGCCTCAAAGGAAGTTATTCGAGTCGCGCTGATAGGACACGCGGTCTCTCGTGTACAATACGAGAGAGAGAGAGAAAGAGAGAAATTAACCGGTACGTACAGAGAGAAACGTGGCTGGCTGCGAGTACCGCGTCGAACGAAAAAACTTGAACAAACAGTCACAATGGTGTTGAAGGTGAAAAGGAAAAACGGAAAATCGCCGTTCCTCTCGCGCGTGTTTCCTTCTCTCGTCTCTTTTTAAAAGGTTAAAAGACGGCTGAAAAACGGGAGAGAAGAAAAAACGAAACAGGGACGAGCAGATTCGTTAATTGAAATACCGATCGGGTGATCGGCGAATTCGTCGTTTATATTGGACGGCGCTCGGACCGCTGTCGCGCGGTATCCATAATCGCGGAATTACGGCGTTGTATTTCTCCGGAACTTGGCTTTGCACACGTCCTTTTGCCAGATGCCGTCTTCCCGATATCGTCTTCCCTCCGCTTTGACCGGAGTTATTACTTATACCACAAGGATATCGGCGGTTTATTTTGTCGACGTCGTAAGAGACGTCGGCGGCTGGAGGTGGGCGAAAGGAGAAGGGAAGACGGGAGCAGTAGCAGAGCGAAAAGAGGGTGAAAGATGGGAAGAACGGGTGAAAGAGGAAACGGATGGAAAGGATGGCGGAGGATCTCTCCGCAGATTAGAGCGCGAATCAATATTGGGCAGCGAGGCGAGGCTTTTATCGGCGTTGAAAGAAATCCCCTCTCGCTTCCTTCTTCGAGTGGGCACCGACTTGGAATGGAAACCAGGCGGTAGAGAGAACCGGGCAAGGAGAAACGAAGGAGACGGAACGAGAGAGCACGGATAGAGAGATACGCGGGTATAGAGAGAGGAGAAGGGAGGAGGAAGGGGGAGGGAGACAGCTTGGCGGAAAGGAGACCGGGAAGGGAAGACAAAATGGAGAGTGACGGAAAGAGAGACACGAAAGATGAAGAGGGGAGCGACGATGGAGACGAAGGATGAGCATGAAGGGTATGAGGAGGACTGAAGAGCCCGTGGAAGGAGCGACTCGGCAAGAGATGGGCGAGGAAGGTGGGAGGGGAAGGGAAGGAGGGGGGGGGGGGAAGTAAGAGGACGAGGATTCCGTTCGAGCAACTTACCGGACTTCTACGTTCTCTCCACGGTCGAGGATTTACAGATTACGCGCTGGTAGACCGAGCTCCTGAGTGCGACCGAGAGAGAAACCGTCGTCGAGAGTGGCGACGCGCGAACGAGAAAGGGAGAGAACGCGAGAATCGGCGCGAGGGAGAAAGACGGTATAAAGGAATGACACGGAGAGGGAGTCAAGGACCATTCGGCGCGATAAGTGCGACGAAAACGGAGCTATCGAGTCCGCGCGGAGTCGAGCGGCTGCCGGTGACTCGACCAATCACAGGCCACCGTCCCGTACAGCCGTCCAATCCGCCGGCGCTGCGAGCATTACACGTTTATTATCGCGCGGGAAAAAGAAATGACTGTTTATAAATAATTAGAGAGGTTTTAATTAACCCTCGGGACGCTCTCGGACCGCCGGTATCCATCGCTGTTTTAATCGCTCGGTCGGTTTTACCATGAACGACGACGCCACCACACCGCATCGCATCGCACCGCACCGCACCGCACCGCACCGCACCGCACCACATCGCACCGCGCCGCACCGCCACCGCCGTCGCCATCGTCTGTTCAATCTATCCCTACTCATAACGAAACCGCGTTATATTTGTAAACTTAACCATCGATCGGCAACGGTCATTAAAGGTAACCTTTGTTTTTGTTTTCTTCACTGCCAGATGGCTTGTGTCAAGGTACGTGTCTTGGACGTACACACGCGTGTTCCATATGAATATATATGCAGTATATATGTGCATACTTACCGGAAAATAGTGGTGTGTTTGATGCGCGGCCAACTTCGCAACGAGACACGGTCGCCCGCGTTACGCGTATTATTAGGAAGCGTCGTGTTCCGTGCCCAACCCCCATCTCTGTGTAACACGTCGACTCCGAGAATCTCCGTATTCACTATTTTCCCGTCAAAAATTCATCTGGCCGCCTTTGACTGCGCGTCGCGACGCGCTATCAAACAGGCAATTGCCTTCTGGTGGATGAAATCGCGGCCTCTAAAACCTTTCCAAAGGCCTCCAACGGCGCGGACACGACAAAAGGGAAATCAAAGTGTCGTCGAGGAGTTTTTACGATCGAACGCGCCCCGCTTTCATCGCGAGGGGGTCCTTCAGTTTAGCCTCCTCGCTACTTTTGGCTGCCACCGCTTCGCCTCCGAATATTTTATTCCCCACTCTCGTTCACCGTATCTTTTCCTCGCCAGATAAAAGATGCTCTGCGAGATCTTTCCTCGCTCCGTTGGCCACGTACGCGTCAATTCACACACACGCTTTCACACACACACACACACACACACACACATACACATGCTCATGCACCTATACGGGTAAACTTTCGTGCCCTCTTCTTCGCTGAGGAAGATTTATCGGGAGGAAAGTTGCCGCGACAAAGGAGTAAATGACTTTCGAATATCTCAGCTTTTCGAACGCGTCAGCTGTAAACCTTTAGAGCGCGAGGGCGCTGCGAGCAGCGCCGCTAGTTCCCATATCGCGTATAGAGTTCGTCCTATTTCGAACTCGACGGAGAAATCAAGAAAGAGAAAGAGAAAGAAACAGAGAGAGAGAGAAAGAGAGAGAATGAGTGAGTGAGTGAGTGAACGGGATAAGATTTTCATTCGGAAGTTGTCACGTAGTCCACACACGGTCTCGTCGACTCCGCGAAATCGTCCAAGTTCGTCTCGACGTTTCCTGGCCGAATTTGACGACAACGCATCAGAGAGTTCGTGTACGCGTCACCAACCCGCTCGTAAGGAAGTCGCTGCGGAAACTCGATCTTTCCCGAAAGTTCCATTGGTACTCGATGAAAGAATCACCTGGTTCTCTCTCAGCTATTCGTGTTGTCGAGAATACAGTTTCCAAGTTCTACGGTCGCTCTTGCTGTTTGATACTCGTTAAACGGATACTGGCTGATTTTCACGGCGAAGAAACTTGCAAGTTTCTTTCCTTTGTACGTAGTGCAGGTACGTATTTGGTTACAGAGTAAATAACATTTCAATAAGACACAGACGACGCTTTGAAGTCGTCGAAATAATCGTATTAAATGACGTGGAAATATTTTCGATGATCAAAGAGGTTAGTCGTTAGTACGTGTTTCGACGTTTATTAAAACTTCGAGAGACAGACGTTATCCTTGAAAGTATTACGATAGTACAACAAGGCAAATAAGAATATTGATATATAAAAAAAAAACATTGTTTGAAATCGTGTTCCCAAAGAAATTCTTGTTACGTATCAACATACGCGAATATCGTTGACTCGTCAAATGTTTCGTGAATAACCTAACCTTCTCGGTCACGTAACGCGGCTGCTTTCCCCGCGCGAAGTAAACTCACGAATTGCATAAACATTTCTGTATACAAGGCGTATATTTCATAATTATCGTATCACGAGATACGCGTATTTTAGGCAAGACAACTTGTCCGTTGGCCTTGAAATCATAATTTCTAACTTCCCGGGAGATATTACTATCTTGAAAAGGCACTCGAATCGAACATTGTGACGTTTCGCTAATTGTCGAACGAAGTATCGTTCGCCGTTAATTGCTGCTTAAACACTCAGTCCTAAGTCAACAATCGGCACGAAGCAGTTTTAAAATTTAAATTTTACGCACTTGCTCGTAAAAGAGGATCGCATTTCGAAAAATATTTTTTCTTTAAATGCGAACATGTCAGTGTACATACGTACGTGCACGTATTTGTATTTTCTGGCACAAGTTGTTCTTTGCAAAATTGTTGAAATATCTTGAAACAACCACGAACATTTCTCGATATTACCGTGTTTGTCAATACTCGCGAAGAATCAGATTACAAGACGTCAGCTTTTCGCGTGGAATAATTTCCAAGATGCGAAACGTCAACAATTAAATTTCAACGATCGATCGAATGGAATTTTCACATTGTTGACGCCGATTCAAAACGTTGTCGCAGTCAACATCCGTGAAAATTCGTCCACTCAGAAACGAAATCACAGCGTTCGAGAGTTTAGTCAAATCCGTGTTTAACCGCGCCGGCGAGACGCGCGCGATCGACGTCTTCGACGATCGTTGTTGCCATCGTCGATGACAGGGACGAACGAAGCGTACAAAATTCGTTTCCGGTTGAACGGTTCCGCGAAATGATTTATTATGCCGTGGAGCGCGCACGGAGAGGAACCGAACGGAGCGTGACCTGCGGTGAGCGCATTGTAGACACGGTGAATCGGCACCGAGAAGAATATGAACCGATCTCTCCCCCTCCCCAAGGAAAGCCCCCATTGTTTTCTTTATTGGAACACTCCGGGTGAATAGGGACGGGCACTGGGTACCAGGGGCCAGGCCGATGGAGCATAGAAAAGGGGGTAATTATATGGGCGCCACTCGGCGCACCAGCAATCACGCGATCGTAATCCATCCTTTCAGATAGAGGCGAGGCTGATGTGTCTGTCGGTATATATCGTAGGGGCCAGATGCGCATCGCTCGTGGTCCGCTTTTTTATGCGGCCTCGTTCGGGATCGTATTTACACGGCGATCTCTCGAGAGATCGACCTGATCCGCTCCGCTGCACGGATAATTGGCCACGATGTTAAATAGATCGTTCGACCAATTGCTTTTCTGCCGTGGCTCTGTCAACAGGAATCGAGAATAGCCGCGCTTGATGGAAAGTACGCCATCTTTCAAAAACGTCGATTAATCAACATTTTCTTTCTTTCTTTTTTTTTTTTTCGTTCGCTGACTCGATCGTACGATTGTTTCATAATCGTTCTCGGCATATATCGATAGATGGAGAATTTATTTATGCGCAAGTTTTGTTTCACGGTGTGTTTAGTTGTGTGTATAGTTTTACGAGTTTATTAATGGTTAAACAGAGGAGATTATCGGATTGTTACTCGTGTCGAAAGATTCGAAGGTGTTAAAATATTCATCTGTGATATAATGGCCGACAATCACGACTAATAATTGCGATAACCGTGCCCGGCTAAATTATCCAAATTCCTCGAAGATAATACCTCGAAGATATTCCACCGATATAAATTACATATTAATAATACATTTCCTGCGTCGAATCTACCGGCGCCGCAATTTCCACTTCGCCCCGTGCACGTCATGTTTCAATTGGGCGGCTGCACGTGCAACAAGCGCCCGGTCGGACGAGCACGGTTTTTGGTCACACTGTCATCGATCTCCCCCACTTAATTCCAACGTTTGTCCATTCCCCGGCGCCGGGGTTGAACGAAGTCGCCGCGTCGAACGACGTTGCTTCCGACGGAATCGCGTTAACGAAGCGTCGAAAAACGGTTTAAACCGGCGGCGTTCGCCGGTGGACCGATGCGTCAGTGCAGAGTAGTCGTCGTCATCGTTATTAGCAGAGAACAAAAACGGTGTCGGGGACAGAAGAGAGACAGAGAGAGAGAGAGAGAGAAAGAGAGAGAGAGAGAGAGAACAGGCGTGCCTGCGAGCACGTATAAAAGGACGCGCGGAACAAGCCGGTTAAATGGGAAACGAGGGGCGCGGAGGGGAAGTTACGTTGACGTTTCGGGGTGGCAACAGCGGCAGCGGCAGCAGCAGCGCGGCAGACTTCTCAATGAGTTCCTAAATCGAAAGGGCTTTCGCCCCTCGTTCGTTCACCCCCTGTGGCTCGGGATGGCACCCTCATATAGATGGAAGAGAACCGGCGTGTTTGGAGAGCCGGAGGGGTTGGCGGTGGTAAAGAGGGAAGAAAATAACAGATTTCCCAGACGCGCCTCATTCGAACCCCCTTGCCACATAGACTCTCGCTCGGCACCGACGACGCTGAGAGCCACGAAGAGAGTGGAAAAGAAGAAGCAGAGAACGAGGAATTTTTTCTCCTCTCTCCCTTTCTCTCTCTCTCTCTTTCTCTCTATCTGGCCGCCTTTTTTCGTTTGCCGGTGTGCTCGTCTTTCCACCATCTCTTCCCTTAGAGTCTCCTCTCTTAGTCAGTAGATGCTTACTAACGAGAGGCAAGAAAGTTCTTACCGACGATATCCTTCCCCTCCCCTCCCCCATCTTCGTCAAGAGGAGCGAGCCTCCTCCTCCTCCTCCTCCTCCTTCGAGACTCCTTCTTTCCTGACTCTCTTCTGCTTTCCGCTCGCGTCCTCCTCCTTTGTCGTATGTATATAAGGGAGCAATGGAAGTTCCTCGTGGGCAGCCCGTTGCGTCGGGGAGGACCCTTCAACCCCTGGCTCCGCTGCTGATTAAGGTATAAAAGGCATAAAAGGCGGAGGGGTATATATATATATATATATGTATATATACAGCGCCTGGGCGAGCCAGAGAGAGCTAAAAGTAGGGGAAAAGAAATTTGTTCACCGACGTGGGGTGGCGGCGTGGTGGGACGAGTGCCGCGGCGGGGCGAACCCGATGAAGAGACCCGGGGCAAATACAACGGGACGGGATACCTAATTGTAAGTACATTATACCTTCGGTCCGCACGGGATTATACAGCTGCTTCTTTATTGCTGACAGTGGCGTCTTTTATCCGTAATCTCGCTGGCTCGTTCCGATTATAGCTGCGGAATCCCCTGTCCCTCTTCCTTCCATTTCCGACCGGCGTGTCTCTCGGCTCGTATCGCGAAAAAGTGCCTCCTTTGTTTTTCTCGCGAATCGCATAAATCGCCAATTCCGACGGCCCGTGCTGCGCGCCCGTTTTCAATGTACGTACGTACGTATGTATGTACGCTCTTGTCTCGGGATCCCTTTTTATCCCCCGATGCCTCTGTTGACTGACTCGATATTTTCGCGGAAAAAAATCAGACGTACGCCGGTCTGTCTCTTCCTTTCGTCCGTTTCTTCGTCCTCTTTCTCCTCCCCCGCTTTTATCAAGCTTTTCTCTCTTGCTCTTGCTCTCGTTCTCGTCGAGAGGAAGGACGAGAGGCAGGATCGTCAATTTGCTCGGCTGATCTGAAATCGAACGAGCGACGATCGACGCGAGAAAGGGGACCGAGAAAAGGTTCGAAATTAACGTGTTCGTGTGTCGCTGCGGAACGGCTGACTTGAAGCTTGGAAACACGAATCGATACATCGACGCGACGAAACCTCCGACGAAACGAATAAAGGAAAATACAGAGTGCACCACCGGTGGAATGGGAATCGCGGTGGAGTGTGGGGTGGCCGCGTGCGCGCGGAGGAGCACGTAGAAACGATCTGCGCGATCCTTTTTATTTCACGATGAAATCCAACCGCAAGGCCAATCTGGCCAAAACCTCGTAATTTATCCCGGGAAAGTACAGGGGGCTCGGGGAAAATGGCAATAGCACGATATCGTGTTTCGTCCGTTTTCAATTGGACGATAATTGACATTTCCCTCGGAAGCGTAGCACAATATCGGGACCCGCCAATTTACTTAAAACCACCTAAATTAAGACCGTTGCTTTTCCGCTTTCCCTCGGAACAGCGAAGAACGAATTTCGCGCATCGCTCGTCCCCCCCCCCCTCTCTTGTCCCCCTCCTTTCTCCCCTCTCCACGCGATTAAAAATGTAATATCGCAAGAATTCATACCGGCAGAAATGTAAAAATAAGAATAGCTCGTTAAACCCGGTTCTTTCCAATTCCGTACGTCCGGTGATCAACGTGAACATGGAACTTTTGAATTATCCATCGGAATCGACGTTGTATGAAACTCTAACGTGTGTCGCGATCGACACGAAAAAGCTGCTCTCTAATTATTACTCCTTAATTGTAAAGTGTCTATATCGTCTATATCTGCCGTATCTGTACGTATTGAAAGATCGTATTCATGCAGAATCGTGGTATCCATGTCCGTGCAATTTTAAAAACGAATTTCATCTCGACGCGGACGCGAGATGTTAAATTTTCACGTGGAATCGTTAACCTGTTAACAGCGAAACGCAAATTAACTCGTGACACGGATTATCGTCGTTACTTATTTAATGCGTCACTGCTGTTATTATTAATGAAAAGACACTACGTGTTTATTAAGAACACAGATTGCCAGACTCGAACT